ACAGACCTGGATAAAAAAAGAGAAATAACAACCCCTAGGTAGAGCAGGTAAGAGCCATTCAGGAGATAGTGACCCCAAGGCCAATGAAGCAGGTTACAGCTTTCACAGAACTTGTGTGCTGACACAGGAGAGTTATCCTACATTCTGCTCTTTTCTTCCTCCTTGAATAGATCTGACACCTTTGCAGCAGCAGACTGGAGGGTGAGGCAGGCCTTGTCCAGGGAATCGGATTAATGATTGCAGCTCTCTGCAGAAGTGCCACATGCAATGAATCCAGACCAAAGAGCTCATAGATAAGCCAATTTTATGCTCATGTCAAAATAGCAACTGCAGAATTTGAGATAGTAGGAAAGTGGGAAGAACTGACAGTTGCCCTCCTTAAGTTTTTTTTCTTCCAGAGGTTGATTAAAAAAGAATCTGACAATTGTACGTATGGCACAAGAAGGCTCCATACTGACTGGAGGCCTTGCGTACTCCCATAATATAAATGCATATTAATAATAATGACATGAGTACTGGGTAGGCCTAGGCAAGGGTTCATCCCCAAAGCTGATCCCTGAACAATGAAGTCCAAGAAAAACACATCCCATCAAGTTGAGCCAGAGTAGAAAGAACAAGAGAGGAGGGCCAAAAACAACAGGGACAATAGGAAGTCATATTCAGATAGAGACATAGTCTGTTCCTTGTGGCAACAGCTCAGGATGGGGAAGGTTGAGAACTAATCTAAGGTTTGAGAAATCTAGGTTCAATTCCTTACTCTGCCACAGACTGCCTGTGTGACATCAGGCAAGTCACTTAGCCACTGAGCATTTAATAGGGATAACAGTGAATATTATCCACCGCAGAAAGGTGCAGTGAGGGTTAACACATTAAAGGGGAGGTACTCAGGTACTATGGTAGTGGCCACAAAACTGTCTTAGACAGGACCTGTTTTATCAGTCCCCATCTGGAAGACAACCCCTTCTTCCGGCATTGGTTCACTACAGTGAATGATATGGATCAGATGGACTGAGTACAAAGCAGCACAGCAATATCAACGGGTGGGGTAATTACATGCTGGTTGTGGCACTGAGGACTCTTAGCAGTACAGCTGAATGGTGGGAAATCGTCAGTGAACAACAGAGGCTGGGCAACAATGGGGAGAGAAAGCGGGTAGGATAGGAGACAAACCAAAGTAGTCTCTCCGCTGCCATGGGGAGCATCTCCAAGCACAGAGGATAACTGTGTTCCTTCAAAGGGTCTGAAACAGCTCACGATCCAGCTAGTACAGAAGGGCTAGCGAAGACTCCAACCTCTCGCAGCTCTCTCTCCCTGCAGACCTGCCTCAGAGTTAGCTGGGCTATGTGTGTCCTTGGGGCCTGGCTGCACCCTGAGGCAGTGGCACAGTAAGGTCATTGAGCACCCGGGGCGGGGCGGGGGGGAAGAGTGGGGGGGGAGTGAAAGGAAAGGCTAACCTTTCTGAATTGCTGTAGCTGCATCAGCTCTGCTCTGGAGACAGCAGCCCTGCAGCTGGGCTCCTTGGGTGCCTATACACATGCTAGTGGATGGGGGTGTGGAAAGGGGGCATTTTAATTAGAGTGGTTGGTTCCTGGAGAGCCACTCTAATTACAATACCGTAGCATCACGTGTATTAAGTCCCCACATGTTTAAAAGTGGACAGGACATTTTAACTGAAGTTCATTCAACAAGCGTTAGTTAAAGCACCCCAGTGGCCATTTTCAAACCGATGAGGGCTTATATACGTGATGCTGTGGAGATGCTAGAGTGTTCTAATTAGGACATGGTGCAGACTCAATTAATTGAGTCTGCTCTAAAACACACAGCGGACTCAATTAGAACACACTGGAACACGTGTATAGACACCCTTGGGATCCAATCCCAATATCCTATTTGCTCCCACCCCACCTATACATACACAATGGGTACAGGGATGCACCTAATGCAACAAAGGCTACCTGGAGGGGACGGAAGCACCATTCTGCTGGCTACACTCTCCCCCTACCCCCAGATAACCTGCTTGGCCCAGCGCTGCTTGGTCCAACTCCTATGGCTGGGCAAGAACACCATGGAGCTGCCCCTGCCATGGCAAAGACATGGGAGGGGGGTATTCTGGTACCCCTTCAGAGTCAGTGCCCAGGGCTAGTGCCCTGCTCCCCACACCCTGGTGCACCAGAAGCATCCTGCCTCATGAGGCACAGGAAACATCCCTCCCATACAGTCCAGACCGGAGGTAGGCAACTTTCGGCACACATGACAGAGCATGGCATATGAAGGCATTTTGCCAGGCAGGTGGACGGGGGGGAAGCTGCAAGGGGTCTGACCTTTGTTGTGGCAGTGCAGCCCCAACCCCTTCCCTGCCGTTCATCTTGAGGCACGCATGCACCTACTGCCAGCAACAAACCAAGCCCGGGGCTCCACAGACCCCAGTGTAGCTGCTTGCAGCCTCCCCACTGCCTGATGCAAGTGGCCCAGGCTCCATGGCAGGTGGCAGGGGCCTGCCCAGAACCTGGATTGGCTGTGGCAGGCAGCCAGGAGGCTGCAAGCAGCTGCACCAGGGTCTGCAGAGCCCTGGCCTGGCTTGCTGCTGGCAGTGGGTACACCTCAAGGTAGCTGACGGGGAAGAGCCCAGGGCTGCAGTGCCACAACAAGGACTGGGCCCCTCACGGCTCCCCCGTTATCCACCCCTGGCACGCCAGCGTCTTACAAGTTGAGGTTGTGGGAGATTTTGGGCAGAGTGTTTGGGCACTCTGCCCAAACACATTGCTGACTTTTTTTTTTCTTTTTTTTTTAAGAATTTTTTCCTGTTCCCAGCCAAATCAAGTCCAAATCCATGAGTAGTCCAGAACCATAAGTGGACCTACAACCAGCAAACATCCTCCACCCCCACCAGGCGCTTCAGATATTTCCAGTGTTTTCTGGCAGCCATCCTACATGCAGACCCAAGCCCAGAGGCTTGGGGTTCAGATGCCCCCAAGTTTTGCCTGCCCTCATCCATACGGCTGCAGGATCAAGTCAGGGAGGAGCCTCTCATGTCCATAAAATAAGCATTAAGCCCCAACACCTCAGCAGGTACTAAACTACACCAAAAGAATAGTTATCCCCAGGAACGCTTAAGGAAAACTGTCTCCAGGGACCCATACATGGTGTTTCCCCTACCAGGTAAATATGGTCCAGACTATACCTGAATAAGGAGGACCTCATTTTTCAGTATTATAACACTCCAAAGAGTCTTGAATCCACCTGAATGTAGGGGTGCACCAACAGAATTTTTTGGGGCAGATACCAATGGCCTATTTTTAATGAGCCATATTGGCTGATACTGATCGGACTGCCAATATGCAGTCGAGCAGCTTGGAGAGCAGCATGTGGCTGGTAACTCTGTTGTGGGGGAAGGGGCCAGGGGGGAAGGTCGAGAGCACAGCCAGGACAGGGCACGGGACAGAGCTGCAGCTTGTCTGGGGGCCATGGGGAGGGGGGGCAGTTCCTGCCACTGCATGTACCCCGGGAGGGCATGCAGGCGCATGTGGCTCTGGACCTGCAAATGGGGTGAGGGTGGGCTGCCACTGCGGGCTGGGGCCAGGGCGGCATCAGGCTATTCCTGGCAGGGGGGGCTAGGCCAGGCTGCACGCAGCGACGCTGGGAGGAGGGCTACAGGGACCCCAAAATTTGTCATAGCCCCCCCCAACTCCCCCTCCCAGGGCTGCCACTGTCACCTGCCCCAAGCACCCTTCCCTCACAAACTTACCAGCCAGACCCGGCTGCTCTCCCTGCTGCCGGGCTGTGCTCCTGGCCACCTACGTGCTGCGCTGTGGCTGTGCTCATGCACGGGGCATTTATCAGCCACATTATTGGCCACATCAGCCAAAAAAACCCATTGCCGATACTGTCAATTTTCTTTATATCAGTGCCGAACTGACATGGGACTGATGTATCGATGCACGTCTACCTGAAAGTCAGACCCAAGAGGCTTAGTAAAAGTATTCTTATATGAGGTACACAGTATTCAGTGTCAGCACTCTCTAATACAATAAGAAAGCAGAAACCAACCCCCCATGGAGGACCCTGTCTGCATAAAAATCAAACTGCTGGTGAGGGGAAAGCAGAAAAAGTTTTGCCATACATTTCCTACCCTTTCCATTATAAATTAGGCATGCAGAGTATTTGAGTATTTGCAAAGTATTAGGAAAACTAATACTACCAACTGACTTCTATCCCTGAACTACCCGATAAAAGAACTGCACACGAACTGTAGAGAGAACAGGAATAACTTTAAACCACAAATAAAGGCCAACTTCCTCTATGATGGATAAACTACCCAAATGACCGTTCTCTACATCAAATCAAAATAGTGCTCAGGGAAACAATAGAGCTCTGTTACTCAAATATCTGAATAGACAAAAGAAAAACCACACAATGCATCACAGAGCAAAACAGAACAGAAAACACACCTGACAACCAAAAAGAAAGCTGTTAAGTGCATATATTAGCTATCGAACAATTTCTAAATACAAGGGCCCTCTTAATATAAGCGAACATGAGAAGAAACCGGCTTCGTACAAATAGTTTTCTTCTCTGAGCTATGCCTTAAAATGGTTGCTGATCAACTCATTGTCTAGGTGCCTCCCCAGGGTGAGAGCAACCTTGCCATGGCTGGAGCCACACAGCACTAAGGTTGTGGAACTTTATTCTCATCACAACTCCCAGCCCTCTGCTTTTCCAAGTTCCTTCTGAACTGGTTTGACTTCGAATCTCGGACTTGGAGGAAATGAGGGTTGGAAGGGGCCTCAGGAGGTCACATCAAGTCCAACCCCCTGCTCAAAGCTGCACCATCCCCGACTAGACCATCCCAGCCAAGGCTTTGTTTACCGGGGGCTTTAAAACCTCGACGGATGTACCGCCCTGGCGAGAAAGAAAAGAAGGCAGGATCAAAGCCTGTCCCTCGCCGCCGCCCCCCAGCAGCTTTGCACCAAACCCCGCTGCCCTGGTTGCACGGAACTCACAAGTTTGGCCGGGGGGGTTGGCTGCCCTTTTGGTCTCCGCCGGGCAGGGAAGGAGAGAGCCCTTGTGAGCAGCCTCCCACCCACGGGCGCCTGCCGGGAAGGGCAGGGGGAGCCCTGGGCGCGGAGGCTGAGGCGGCGGAGCCCCCACACACCAGCCCGGGGGCAGGGCAGGGCAGGGCACGCGGCCGCGCTCTCCCCTCCTGCCCGTGCCACTGACCGCAAGGGACTCCTCCAGGGGGCAGCGCGCGGCCGGACCTGCCCCCCGGCCCGGGCACTGTGCGCCCGGCGAGGGGTGGAGCAGTGTGTGCCTGGGGGGCCGGGACACGGACACGCACACCGGGTCTGACATACACCACCCCCCGTCTCACACACTCATCTAGGTCTGACACACCTACACAACCCGCCACACACACACACACACACACCCACCCAGGTCTGACACACACCCCCCGCCCCAGTCTGACACACACAATCCAGGACACACACAAACACACATACAAGTCTGACATACACCCCCCGCCCCAGTCTGACACACACAATCCAGGGCACACACAAACACACATACAGGTCTAACATATACCCCCCCAGTCTGACACACACGCACACAATCCTGGGCACACATACACACACACATCCATATCTGACACACATACCCCCAGTCTCTCTCTCACACACAATCCGGGACACACACACACACACATCCAGATCTGACATACAGCCCCCGTCCCAGTCTGACACACGCACACAAAATCAAACACAGCCCCCCTTCACCTCCCCCCGCAAGGAGGCTGCTTTAAGCTTGAGCTGCCAGTTTCCCCCTGGGCAGGTGGCATGACCCCTAAGCACTGCTCAGTGAGATGGGAAGGCAGTAGGGATGGAGCAGCTTAAATCAAGAGGGTTGGATATCTGCCCTGCCCCAGCCGCTCTTGTTCTGCTAAGTCAGTCCCTTGGTGGACAGCATGTGGAGCACAGTGACTCCTGCTTGCTGCCTGCTGCAGTGGGGACAAGCCCTGCGTGGCTGAGTGGTGACTCTCCTCTTGGCAGGAGTGGATGGGCCTGGCTGTGCCAGCTCTGTGCCCCCTCTGACCAGCCCTACCCTGGGCAGGGGGTGACAGGAGAGGGAGCAGAGCAAGAGCGCACTATGTTCTGCCCTGTCTAGTCCTGTAGTTGGTGCTAAACTAAAGGCAGGCCTGAGGCTGCTTTAACTTAAACCAGGTGCTGAGGCTGCACCAAGGCAGTAGTAGAACATGTAACTAGTAAAGGGGCACAGTGAGCTGTTATCTGGCTAACCTGACTATCCACAGCAATGAAGATGCTGTGCCCCAGATTGCAACTCAGGCTAGTAAACAGAGTAGCAGTCAGGAGGCCAGTCTACACTGCCCTGTTATAACTACAGCTGTTTTCCCCACCCACTAGATTAAAGTTAGCATGGCTCTCTCCATGCTGCTATTACTCCTCCCCTTTGCACTGTAGATATGTGCGCAAATACAGGCAATGCAAAGGCAGCCTGAGGCGGTCTTCTCACACCCACACAGTCTTATACTCAGTTTTGCTGCACATGCATATCTGGAAGATGTAGTTAGTAGTGTTAGTCTGAAGTCAAGTGGAAGGCAGCGTAGGTTTGCACCTTATAGACTAACCAAAGTAGTTATAGAGCAGAAGCTTTCATGAGCTGAAGAACACTTCATTAGATGCTGTGGAAGGACATGCACATTCTCTGCTTTCTGTGCATCCTTTCACAGCATTTGATGCAGTGAGTTTTAGCTCACAAAAATTTGGGCATATGGGTGCTCACGCTCTCTGTCTGTCTGTCTCTCTCAATATATATAAACTTTAGTTAGTCTATAAGGTGCAAATCTACCCTGCTTTCCACATGAAAATCCGGACCAAAATATTTGGGAATAAAGGAAGATAGCTGGACAGGGATGACTTGGATCTTTTAACACGCAGCTACAAACACACTTTCTAAGTGGAATCTGGTAAGAAGTGGGCAGGTAATGGATCTGTTGTCTGTCACATAGGGCTGAGCAATAGCCTGGACACATTCATCATCAATAGTCCCTCAGTATGAGGATGACAGTCTTCCAGTGAATTAGGTAAGTCACTTTTGAGCCTGTAGATGACTGAAGAGACAATATGAGGTCTGCATGTTCGATTGCAGACATGGCAATTGTTCTGGGAGGAAGGAGTGGACCTTGGTGATGTCAAGTCACAGCTCTCTTAACCCTTTGTCTCTATCTGCCTCCATAGTGAGGCGAGTTCGTTCAAAATGATCAGTGCCTTGTCATACATCATAGTGCCATTGGGGACAATTTAGTGCTTGAGTTTCCCAAGTACTGTTATTAACAACGCATTTCTTTGGATTGGCCTTCAAGGTGTTCTTAAGTCTCTGCTTTTGCCCACCTCTAGGGCAGTGGGCATACAGAATGAGCAAATTAAATCATTCCTAGTATCCAAGACTGAATCCCTCTGTAAAGCCATTTAATCTGTATATATACATGATATTTCAAGAATGCCAAATTATAAGGGACTCTGGCCTTTTGGAGTTGCCCTGATGTTTGTGGTGTTATTATTATTCTTTGTTTATTTGGGGGCTGGTCCCTGGAGCTAGCTGGTATTCCGGTTTTTAGTTTACTGCTTGCTGATCTCTACTCACATTGCACTGCTAACTTTTCGGTACTAATATGGGTAGCGCTTCTACAGAGGGAAGTATGCTTCTGTTAAACTGCAAATGCCATGTTGTGGAGCCTAATTGTAATATTGATAAAGCCACAAGATGGTGCTAGAGGCATACAAGCTAGTAGAAGCCCTCCCACAGTGCTATCTACATGCTCAGGCACAAGGTGCGGTTGGAAGTAAGGGAAGGTGTGGAGATGTCCATCGAATTTGAAAGGTGAAAGTCCTATTATTCTACAGTCATACTCTTTGGGGCAGAGAGGTCTTTTTGCTACTATAGCAGGGGCCCAGACCCTGTTACTTGGGTGTAAGGGAAGGGGAGGAGAGGGCACGGTGGCAGAGAGCCCCTTTAAGAAGATGCAGCAGGCTCAGCTGCCTGTGTGGGGCTACAGCTGCAGGAGAGCAAGCTGGGCCTTGATTGACAGGGAAACCCCTGTGCAGAGCTGGTGATAAAGAGGGGGCGGGGCTTCCAGGCATATAAGCCCAGGACCTGAGCCAGAGCAGGAAGTCAGAGCCTGTATGTCGAAGGGTGAGGAGCTCCTGAAGTTGCCTCCAGTGGATGGAGTAACAGGCACCTATGCTGTTTCTGGAGCTGCCCAGAGGAAACTAGAAGGGAGCTGATGACCCTGTAGTGAAGAAGTGAGCCAGAGCAGGGTAGAGTCTTTTTGTTGTGAAGCAGGTGGTTTTGTTCATGTTGTGGGGCTTTAGACTATAAGACTGGATTGTGACTATGGGGGAGGTCTGGAGGCCACAAAGGGGTGCCTGGTAGGGCACTTGGCATTGGGCAAGCCTAGCTGGGGTCAAGGGCCAGAGGGCTACGGGCTGGAGAGGCAGGCAGTCCAGCCCAGGGTCAAAGGCTAGAGGGCTAAAGGCTGGAGAGGTGGGCAGCCTGGCGTGGGATCAAGGGCTAGAGAGCTAAAGGCTTTAAAGGTGGCCAGCCTGGCCCCAGGGTCAAGGGCTGTGGGCTGGCCCAGAGCAAGGGACGTGGAGGCCAAACAAGGCTGAGGCCTGGGCCCCAATCAGTGGACCAGGGCTGGAGGCAGCACCATACTTAAGACTTATGGTGGTCCTGGGCAAACCTTTAGCACCAGGCTCCCCTTTGCCAGAAATAATGATAATGGTAACAAAAATTACCATTTTCAGGCCCCTTTTCTGTCTGGACCCTAGGCAGCCGCCCAATTCGCCCATGCTTGTGTCTGGCCCTGGCTGGAGGTCTGCCGCCAGAAGAAAGGGAGGCTAAAGTCAAGGAAGACAGAGGCCTTTACAAGGGATGGAATGGTATACAGAGTATCATCTGCAAGGCATAGGCTTAACTGTAGGGGCAGAAGGAGGCCACAAACTTAGCCCTTAAGGTGAGTAGCACATAAAGAACTAGTAGGGAGACAGAAAGAGAGATCACCTTGGGCTCACCAGCCTCTGAGGGCAGCCTGCCTCCAAGTTTTACAACAAAACATGTCAGGTGAGGAACCAGGGCAGAATGCTGGGAGGTGATGGCAAGAGCCAAGCAAGGTCAAAGTGATCACTAGGGAGGTGTTATGTTGCTTAGGTGACATCTGTTTGCAGCTGTGACCTTGGCCAAGTCAGATCCTCTGTGCTCAGCTTCCCGTCTGTAACATAAGCATTCCCTGCTTTACAGGGGTGTATGAGGACAACAGAAAACAACTGATGGATGTGAGGTGTATTAGTGATGGAGACCACGTAAACTGACAGGATAAAATTTAAACACCAGATCCTAGAAAAGCGGGAAGTGCTGAGTCAAGGTGACAGTTGTGTGACCCAACACTTCCTCACTTTGACATCCCTAGGACTTTGGAGCCAGAGCAATACAGTTGTCCCAGCCTATTTCCTGAACTCTTTCCTTCCCATTTTTCTGAAACAATTTTCCTTGTCTTGTATTTCCAGTCATGGAGACCAAAAACAGGACATCCTGTATCCCATGCACAAGTTGCCGTTATCTCAGTTCTGTTCAGGAAAAGCCCATGTCATAATGCTAGAGACCACCCTTTCCTCTCAAGCCACCCTTAGACAGTGCCAAGCATAAGAAACAGGGAAAAGCTCTCTTAGTTGTTCCTCACCACAGTCAGGTTGGCTTCATTAAATATAGACGTGAGGCAAGCAATCTGTGACAGTAGATACATTTGTAGTCTAGGGCAGGGGTGGCCAACCCATAGCACCTGCCACAAATGGCATGGGCAGCCTGTGTGGGTGCATCTATATGTGCACATTTATTGTGCAATAACCAAAATTACTATGCAGCACTGGCACACATCTGCATGTGCACACCCACACTATGCAGTAAATATGGCAACTTATGCTGACTTGAGCATAAATTTGATACCTGCATCATGCATGTATCAAATTTATGCCCAATTAGTTACTGTGTAGTAATGCAAGTGCAGATGCCTTACTGTGCAGTAACACTGTGTATGTGGACTGACTTGGGACTAACTTTAACACCTGCACATGTGGATGCCAGCTTATTCCTACGTACTGCGCAGTAACTTAACTGTGCAGTAAATTTAAGCT